GGGGGGTCAGTAGTCTCATGTTTAGATTGCCGAACTAACAATCGTGAAATTGTGGGCTGGGAGGTTAGAGCACTTTATACACATATTATATGTTTCAATGTTATTTAGCTCGGTTGTATCGGAAAGAGACGTAAGATTCGGAGGTTGCGCCTCTAAAATAACTCGACAAGGTAGCAAGGGCTGTTTAGAGATTACAGTTTCGCTCATACGGAAGTGGTAACGAAGTTTGAACTTTAGGAAAAGAAAATCGGATAGTATGGTATTATCCATTTTAGTTTCAGGACAGTTGAACTACATGCATTGTACTGTCAAGAAATAGGGTGCTTGCTCTAATTATATCCTGAGCATACTTTGTTATTTTGCAAATATCGTAGATCGGGAGGGCATCATAGACAGTGTAAAACGTAAAATGACACTGTTTAACCCTATCCGTACGCCCTGGGGTCATTTTGTGTCCTCGGGGTCGTATTTTCACATTTTAGAATACTTCTAGTAAGAAGATCTCTTTGAAACTTTCAGTAATTTCTAAAGAAAAAAACCCAACATTTTGACAGACTGCTGTGCAAAGCGCACGGATCGGATTAACGAGTAATTTCCCATTTGGAAAGTGGTGGCACAGAGCTCCCCACGTCGTAAGGATACGAAAGTAAAACACGACGTTTGGATAGGGTTAAGTGGTGGCACAGAGTTCCTCACGTCGTAAGGATACGATGGTAAAACACGACGTACAGATATGGTTAAGCTGTATATTGTGATGTCTGTCCTGGTTTGATGGAATAGCGCTGTGGCTCACGGGTCTGTTCGTCTGTTGTCACGTGGTCGATTCTACCGTCAAAACATATTATTTGATTATTTTTGGGTTGGATTTTGAATTCGCCGTGAACAGCATGTTCCATGTTTGAGAGCGTGTGCTTTATTTATTAGTTTATTCGTTTACTCGTTTATTCATTTATTTACCTTTATTCATTTATTTATCTTTATTCATTTATTTATCTTTATTCATTTATTTAACCTTTAGGCTGTGTTAAGCGGTCGGCTCGAGAGGGAGCTCTTCCGCCTTTCCCCAAGAAATCGGATTTAAGCCGTTTTCCATCTCGCTAGTAAACAGAAATAACCGAATAGACATGACTCCTTGGGGAAACCTTAAAGCGCGCCATGTTTGCTGGTTTGTTTGTAAAATGAAGACCACAGGGGGGAACCACTGATGATGTCACACTTTACATTTTTTGTACAAACTTCAAATAAAAATTGGTCTATTTGTTTCAAATTGTTTCATGAGTAGACTGCTAAGAAGATTATGATATATACATAATATATTGGTAGCATTTACTTCTGTTGTAGATGTACTGTTGAAATTGTTTTTGAAAGAAGTCCTTTTTAGAAAGGTGTTATCTGTTTATGTCTTCCAACGGGTTGGCATTGACTTGAATTTTCTTCTACTTACGGAGCAACCTGCGTGCGCGCATGTGTGTGTG